CTGAAGGGGCGCGGCCGCTGCTCCATGGACCTGGAAAGGGGGAGCGAGGCGAGCTAGGCAGCCCGGCCGGCCGAGCGGCTCCGGCTCACCATGGATTGCAGCCTCATCCGCACGCTTATCAACAGATATGTAAGTACCCGGGCTGCGCCGCCACTCCCGCGGGCCGCTTCTCCCTGGCGGGAGAGGGAGCGAAGCGCCTACGCGACACGCCCGCTGGCCCGGGGAAGCGCCCCCTGCAAGCCGGAGGGTGCTGCGGAGCCGGTCACTGTCCTCCCTCCCAGGGAGCGCAGCCCCCTCCGGGCGGCGAGCGGGAGCGCTTGGTCCCCCCCGTTTCGGAGCAGCCGATACGCTTCCTGCCGGGAAGGGAACTCGGCCGGCGGGGCAGCAGGTTGCAGCGCAAGCGGTGGCGGGCGCGCCTGGCTCCATGCCCAGTGGCGCTTACGGACAATCCTCTCGCTTACTCCTGGGAGTCCCGGCTCTGCCCCGCTCGCTTCCTGCAGCGCGCGGCGATGGGCCGCTCCCGGCCGCTAGTTGCTTGCGGGACGGGAGAGGTTTGAACTCTCCCGGCTGGACCAGCAGGTGCCCCTCCTGCGAGCGCGAAGTGTAAACACTTGTTCTAGCTCTACTTGCCATGCGTTGCGTCGATACAATATTTGGTGTTGTCCAGTTCATGGGCTAGTTATTCGCTGGTGAGTAGTTGAATAGCACAGTATTTCGGGCTGTTCAGTAAGTGAAAACTAGCCTTCGTGTAATACGATGGATATTGCTCGGCCGGACGCAATCCACTGAGAGGTGGATCTCTGGTTTTTTGCTAAATCTGTCTTCTGTTTTTGGGAGCCTTTGCATCTGAAATAAAATACTTGATATCCTGTATTTCTCCAAACCTAGTGAAATACAAACCCCCAACAAAGACCACATAGTTATTTTTATCAAGTTGATTACAGTGAATGAACCAAAATGAATCCGTTCAGCGATTCTCTTTTCTGCTGAAAGCTGACCTTAGATCAGTCATGAGTTTGATAGTCTCATGATTTGCAGGGAGGTCAAGAGAAGCCTTCGGGGCTTATACTTGCACATGACTGAAAGGAGGATATGGTTTAAACAGTTGTTAGTGATCCCAAAATATGTATGGGGATTGTCCTGCACTTTAGTTTAAAAAAAAAGTAAAAGTCAGTTTTCCCACCTAAAACAAGGACAATTTACTGTACACAAATGTAAATAATACTGTTGGAGTGGACCAGAGCTAGCAACTAATAGCAAATCAGATTTGATTTAGAATTTTTTAAACAATGAATTTACAAGTATTTCTTATAAATGTAAGGTGACATTTACTGTTAAGTGCAAAGCAATGTGTAGTGCGGAAAAAAATCTCAATTTATATGATGGGTTCTGAATGATCGGTTATCACTTGAGAAAGATCTTAGCATCATTGTGGATAGCTCTCTGAAAACATCCGCTCAATATCCAATGGCAGTCAAAAAGCAAAGTGTTAGGAACCATTAGGAAAGGGATACATGAGACAGAAAATGTCACAAAGCTGTGGCATGCCCATACCTTGTATACTGCATGCAATTCGTGTCACCCTGTCTCCAAAAGATGTATTAGAATTGGAGAGTGGGAAGTACAGAGAAGTGCAACACAAATGTTTAAGGATATGGCACAGCTTCTGGATGGAGAGAGATGTAAAGAGTCTGGGGATGTTCATCTTAGAAAAGAGTGTTACATGAGAACTGGAGTCATAGGTAGCGGGTTTAAATGAAATTCTTAGGTAGTGGGTCTAAAAAATGTCAAAGCACTTCACACGATGGACAGCTTGTGGAACTCATTGATAGCTCTGCAGGTCCCTGGGCAAGAGGGAGGGCCATGGTGGCTCTGTACTCTGAGTGGGTGGGGCCTTGGGTAAAAGGGGTGTAGCTGGGGCAGCTAGCTCTCTGTGCTGCTCAGAGCATGGTGCACTTCCTCTCGCAGCCTCAGAGCCACAAGTGGTACTCCAGATAGCCAAAGCCTTGGGCCCTTTAAACAGCTGCTGTTGCAGTAGAAGCAGTGACAATCAGGATTCCCAGGCTCCTTTACATTGCCAGGCCCTGGGGCAACTGCCCCCCTTTACCACCTCCTATTGGTGGGCCTGCCAAGGGATGTTGCGAAAGACAAAACTATAACTGGGGGTTCAAGAAGCAATTAGATCAAATCAAATCATGGAAGAGAGATCCATCAATGGATCGAATGTGATCAGAGATGCAACCCCATGTCTCTGAATTTTTGATCACTAGAAGTTGGGACTGATAACAGGAAATGTATCACTCCATTACTTGCCCCTTCTGTTTATCCCTTTAGAAACACTTGACAGTGGCCACAGTTGGAAGACAGTATACTTAGGCTAAGGATGCTGCTGGTTTACCCGTATGGCCATTGTTTCCTTTTGAGGAAGAATGAATTGACTTTGAAATGAACAAAGCATATGGTTTTGAAATCCGTATGAAATGAACAAATTATATCAAAATTAGTATTGTATTAAGTTGGAGCAAGGAGTATATTGAGGTATTAAAGAATCAGTGCTAAACCAGGCTTTCATTAACATCCTCATTAATGATCAAGAAGTGAGGCTAAACAACATTCTTACCAAGTAACCACTAAAAACAATACAGAGAAGTTATCCTGCATTCACATTCGGTTCAACTGAACCTAAATGTGAATGAATGCAAATTAGTACATTTGAGGATGGAAGGTGGGAAGCCAAACCATAAATATTTATGGCTGGGGATAAAACCTTGGAGTGTTTAGTGTTATGATTTTTTGCTAAATATTCTGAAGTATCTTGTTCTAAATCAGGGAGATTTTCATTCTGGTGAAACCATAGCTAAAGTAACCAGGTTGAGTGGTTTTTTTTTTTTTTTTTTTTTTTAAAGCTTTTCAAAGATTTGGACAAATTGGAGGGAAATGAGAAGAGGTTACAGGAAAAATGACAAGTGTTGAAGGGATTTCCTGTGGAAAGACTTCTAAAACTGTATGCTTCAACTAAGTGATGATGGGTGGGGTGGCAATGGAGGCACTGGGTTCACACACATTTGCAATGTGGCCCTGCAGACAGACAAGGAGTTGCAAAATATTCAACAAATGTAAGTCTCACTCGTTGAGTTGGACTTGCATGATGGAGGACTCTGTCTATTAACAGATAGCCATAGCAGTGGATCTCATTGAGGTCTTGCCACTAAGAATTCTTCACCCCAAGTCTTCTCCTGATGCTTTTTAGCTATAATAGTGTGTAGGTGGATTGTGGATGGATAAATGGTGTTATAGATAATGTGGGTATTGGCATATCAGAGGCTTTGCAGATGAACAGTGTTCCCTGTCCAACACCTGACTAACGGATGCTGAGTGATAAGACCTATTTGGTCTTAATTTGTTGATAAACAAATTCTGCATGTTGAACTTAATTGTAGCTCCTATGAGGTGGTATCCATCAGATGCAGATAACTTCAATTGTGTGGTTTTGAGGTGATAAAAGGGATGAGTAAAACATTAGGATCCTTTATTCAAAAAGTAAATGTTGGTCTCCTGTATTTCCTAAGGTGTGAGAAGTGATAGTTCTCACTACATTTGCAATCTGTGTCCAAAGGCATGTGAAGTCAAGTATAACTTCAAGGTTATGCAAAGACTTAGAGATCTGATGCCCTTAGTTCAAGGGGAAGTCTGTTTTGCTAGCATCTTCAAATGTCTGTTTACTGTTTTACCTGAATGGTTTGTCACTTGCTTCAGGGGGTAGCCAAGTTTGTTATTTTTTCTGTACAGACTAATGGTCTAGTAGCACTTTATAGACTAACAAAATATGTAGATGGTATCCTGAGCTTTCGTAGGTACAGCCCACTTCTTCAGACTATTTTTGTTGTTGTCATTTGTTTGCTTATTTGTTCCAGGCATGGGTCTGCTTTGGCAAACCCAGACTTTAACTAGTATGCTAAGCACTGCAAATATTGTAATGCACCTATTATAGCCCCTTAAGTAGTGGGAGAACATTCTAGAAGAGAAGTATTAATCATAACAGAATAGTCAAGTCCAAATGCATTCTGCTTGCTTTCTCCAAATTATTCTTTGCTTCCACACACATCCACAGCCCTGTGTAAGCAAAAGGGGTGGGGTAAGAGAATCCACATGCCACAGTTTGTAAATGCTTTGGAATCCTTCTAGATCAGGGCTACTCAACTTTAGGAGCCCAAGGGGCCACAATGATACTCACAGCACATGCCGAGGGCTGCCACTTAAGTATGGTTGCATATATATGCAACCAAATAGCTTCTTTCACACTGACGGGCATGAAGACAAGATTAAGGCAAGACTACACAACATGCAGGCCCCATTTAAGTCAGTTCTGCTGATATTAGTGAAATGCAATATTTACCCCATTTCCACTCATATGACAGCACTTTTAATAAGCAAAGACAGTCTAGGAATTTAACTACTAAAATGCATATCAACAGAAGACCATTATATTGATTCCCTGTTTGGAGAGTGTTCTCAGTGGAGGCCATGTTCAAAGGATCCCACCTGTGGACTGTGTGTTGAGCCCTGTGTAAACCCAAACCACAATGCAGGCTGCAAATAAACGGGCCATGTGCTGAGTAGCTCTGTTCCAGACAATATAAAAATGTAGACTTACTGCACTTTAAGTTGGAAT